AACTCGACGATAAGTTACCTGCCCCCCCCCCCCTCAAATTTTCTCAACGGATTTAGACAATTCACAAAAATGATCAATTTAGGAAATAAAACGGCAGATTTCCGCATATCCGCGGAATATTGCCACCCCTGATTAAATGAGGTTAAGCTTCCCCCCACCCCCACACACACATTAAGCGTTTTAGACTGTCTCTTGCCGAGGAAAAAGTATTTCTGATATCTGTTCAGTTTGGGTGAAGCAAGCACCTGCCAGTCGTTCGATGGTCCGGCAGATTCTCAACATGGCCAAAGATTAGCTGAAACAGTCACTGTGCTTTAGCTCACGGAAACACCAGTATATACTTTTGCAGTCTTACAGTTTATTTTCTAGCTCCCCTTTGTCTCCACTTGGATAAACATCTGGACATGGCCAAAACATCTGAAAAGTACATACAAGAAGACTCATTCTCCTTAATTGTTATTGTTTAAGCATTTTTTTCCCCTGACTGAAATGTTCAATAGGATGTCATCACTACTGTTGAAAGAGCAGCATTCTTGAATTGTTGATACGATACTTTTTTTTTTTTTAATCGAAAATCGACCTGTGAATTAATTGGAGTTAGGTACACACCACACTGAAGTCCAGATTTTGCTCGATCCACTCCTGCCCGTCCTTGAACTCTTCGTGCAGACCCATGATGTACAGCGTGTCCAATGCGTCCACGATGGATGCTCCAAGCTGAGAATTACCTGCACAAGACAGATAGGGAAACTCAAGAGGGGAAAATATTTGTTCCCCCCCCTCCCAACTAGTAATCCATCCATCCATTTTCTGAACCGCTTATGCTCATTTGAAACTTTGATGAACGACCATCTCTAATATATGGACAATGAAAACAACAGGAATTCTAGCAAAATACTTCCTCTGGCCTGATTGAAGTAAGTTTCCTACCAGATGCAAGCACACCAAATCACCAATAACAGCAGTACATTGACATTCCCATAAAGCACAATCCCTTGTCACAGATTTATGACAACACTTATGATTTGACATTTAGATTTGCGTGAGAGCCATTACCAACAGTAACAGTCCCAAGTGCAATTGATCAAACATCTCATAAAGACTTATTGTGAAGAGTTAGGCATTCATTGTATGCAGCACTGCAAAAATCAGTGTCTTATTTTGGATTTTATTAGGGTGCAACTCATATGGTTTGCGACTATGAGGTGTATTGGAATATTGATATCATTTTGCTTTGAAAGTCATGTTACCAAGATCTCTTGAATGGTAGACTGCAGTCTGGATCCGGACCAAATTAAGGTCTCGTGCGGACCCATGGTCAACCGTCATTAAATAAAGTACACTCTATATATATATATATATATATATATATTTATTAAGAGTTGTCAAATTCTCGCGTTAATTGCGAAAAATTTAGCGTGTTGTTTTTTAATTGTGATAATCTAAATTTTAATCTCTAACTTTATTGTTTCTGTTGGTGGGTTGCCTCTTTATAATGTCCCTTTTTATGTGTTTGTGTGTGCTACCTGTGTTCAAGTTGTTGAGGGTGGGGAAACAATGGTCAGTCAGCCTGAAGCGGACATTGATTGGCTGTCATTATGTTTGGGCTTGTTTAGCATAATCTGATTGACTCCCATTGGAGTTGGGCGGGCCAGGTAAGCAGTGTTGAGGAGAGGAGAGGAGAGGTGAAAATGGAGGAGCATGTGAGAGTTCTCGGCCCAATGAATGGAAATTTTACATTCCAAAAACGCCCCAACGGCACTATTGATAAAGGTAGAGCATTGTGCTGAATTTGTCAGGAGAAGTTTGCTTACAGCAGCTCAAGTTTAGCCTACCACGTCAATGCAAAGCACCCAGTGGCGAGTGTAGCCACAGCTAACATTAGCACCGAAAGCGTGAGCAATATAGCGAGCCATAGCAAAGCTCTTTGCCAAACTAAACTCGAGAACACCCCACATACGAGGCATGAAGGCAGCAAAGCCGCTGTGTCCTCTGTAGCCTCGAGAAGTCATTTATGTTTATTTAAACACTTTATTTTGTAATGATGAACAGTATTATTTCTGAAGTGCTAATTTACAGCACTGTGATTTAAGGGTCTGTTTAATTTATTTTGCATTATCCGAAGCAAGTTCAGTGTTCAGTACTTGTATAGCTCAGAAAAGTATTCTTACTGTTTTTGAGATGTTAACCTAAGCACTTTTTATGGACCTGAACAAAACAAAACAGTGATGTTCCCCCTGGTGGTGGAAATTAAAGGTTGCAGGTTAGACTTGGGACTAGTCTCAAATACAGCAGCAAGTAAATGGCTAGGACTGCATCTATTCAAGTCTGTTTAAAAACAATAAACCACTTTATAATGCCACTTTTTTCGTGATGTCAATCTTTTGATCTGCCTCAATAATGCAATGAATTTAAAATGAAAATAGGGGTTACTCAGCAATTTTTAGATGGCATTAAAATACATATTAATTAGATCAATTAATTAAAGATCATAATTAATTAATCTCACAATTTGTTTAATCTCTTGACAACACTAATATATATGTGCGTATGTATGTATGTATATCTTCCCATCACGTACTGTTTTTTTTTTTTTTCTCACCACAGATGCTGCACACAGTCTTACTGTACCCACTGTTGTGAGCACAACCATGATGAGCCAATCAAACCACTTGTTTACCGGAAAAGATTTGCAGGAGAAAACACAAGATAGCTTGTTTCAACGTTAAGAGGTTGACTCAGAAAACTCTGAGTTTTTCAGATTGAATGGAGGGACCACAAATTCTCTCTACAGTACTTCCAAATGATGACTCAAGCGTGCTTTTAATAGAGAAGTGGGAACTCAGAGTTTTAGTTCTGTTGTTACAGGCATCAAAATATAATTTGTAATGACATTTAGGCCTGATGTGTTTGTGCCTGTTTAGCGGATATTTACGTAATTGGTGTTCTTTGTTTTATGATATGAAGTGTTTTTAAAATGTTTGTTTAAAAAGCATGGTTTCTTCTATGTTTTGGGGAATACATTTATTGAGGTTCATTCATTGTCATCTTTTAATAGGATCGAAATTGTTTTATTCACATGTACAGGCAGCTTTTTCATGGAAATCAGCATCATACAGTGGTTCCTCATTGATTGCGGTGGTTACATTACCAAAATGAGCCACCATAGGCAAATTCTGCAAAACAGAAGTATACTTTATTTTTTTGTTCCCTCAAGAATTTCAAGGGCACATTATCCATCAGGATTGCACCTTAGGCTGCAATGTGACGCATGATTCTGGTTAAGGTAAGCCATTTAAGATTAAAATGAAAAATTTTAACTTAATTATTAGCCAAGGTTTCATCATGCTTATCCTCGTGCTGCCTGGCTGCAGAGTGCGGACCGCTAACATTTTCAGCACAGGTTTTTCCTTCCTTGTCGAGTATTGCCTGCATTGGGCTCTCTTTTTGGGAAAACTCTGAATCACCGAACAGCACATTTGAACAAGCTTTGTTCTGAGTTTCCGAATGATGTGAGTGATTCAGCGTGAACGCAACGTATTTCCCCAATGAGGGAAAGGAGATTTTGGGGGTAACGAGCCGCCTAAGGTTCCATTTTGATAAAAAAAAAAAAAAAAATCCTGAAAGAAAAAAAGTCAATCAAAATGTTTTTACTAGTCCGACTTTGAAGTGAGACAAATGGCAGGAAAACCCGGAAAATAGCAAGGAAAACCACAAGAGATGAAGTTATCGTCACAAACGCGCAACAGAGTGAAGCCGCAATAACCGAACCACGGTATATCGCTAGGGAACACAGTATTTGCCATTTTTGACAGGGCCGCTATGTGGTCGCAACTGTGGACAACTGTTTAACACATCTGCCTCACAGTTGTGGGTTCAAATCAGGGCCCATGAATCGAATGAGTTGGCTAGGCAAATCAAATCATTTTGAGGTCTGGACTTTCCCTTGAGGAATGCCGTGCAACCACACCCCTCTGAATTTTAATTTGAGAGTTCTGATTTTGACCTTCAACTATACAAAAACATTTCATTTGCATTTTCATTTCCTGTTTAGGTCTTTAAATGTCTTTCTCCAAAATTTTCTTTGAGTCCAATAGACTATCTACACATGGACAACATTGTTTGTACCCTTCTGTTCAAGAAAAATCCACAATTGTCAGTGAAATAATTGGCCTGTAACAATAAATAAATGAATAAATAAATAAATATTTGAATGAATGAATGAATATGAACGAATGAAAACCGAGCATTTGTAGACACTAGCCATGAATTTATGAGACCCACTGCTCTTTTTTTTTTTTTGAGAGGTTTAAGGTTCACAATTTAACGGCAAAAACACAGTCGGAATATTGAGGGCAATTATTGTGACAATTTAAAAGAATTTAATCTATGTATTGATTATGGAAATATATAACAATCTAAGGCTTAGTTGCAAGCACCTTTCCAGACCCTCGCTGACACTGTCCATCAATTAAATGACAAACAAAATTGTATTGAGCAAATAAAACAAATACCAAATAAAAGGCAGTGCAGTTAGGATGGGTAGGGGATATTAATGAGTCCCTTTTGAGATTGAATTTGAAACTCGTAAAAGAGACTGAGCTGCGAAGGTGAGGTGGCAAAGAGTTCCAGAGCTGGGGAGCAGGGCGGCTGAAAGTCCTGTTCCCCAAGGTGCTGAAATGAGCCAAGTGGAACGGTCAGGTGAATAGAGGAGAATCTAAGGGCACAGACTGAAGTGGCGATGTGAGGTTATCAGAGCTAATTTTTAATAGAGCTGTCTCAGTACTGCTGATTGGACAAAAACCGAAATGGAAACAATGTGGCACACAATAATCATTGTAGTCTGTGGGCACCAAGAGCTTTACAATACAACCAGCTTTTAAAAAGGAGCAGGCTTACAGAATATGGAGCGACTAAGGTGCCATATATTTTGAGTGCACTGAGTGTATTTCAATATGTCCACACTGTCTTCATGATTATCACTAATGTCCTATTTCTGTAAAATCAGGCATCTTCCATGACTGCCACTACCATTTTGTGGACTAAAAAAAAAAAAAAAAAAAACTCCCCATTCAATTCAACATATTGTATGGGGAGCTTTAAAATGTGAACCATGGTGGCAAAGTTCATATTGCTGGGAGTCCTCAATGCATACGCATGAGTGGCTGTGTTTTTTTTTTCCCCATTGCTGCCAAGCCAGACAACACATCCATCCATACAATGATCAAAGTGATCACTCTGGAACACACACAAGTCCGTTTCCACGTCCGTTTCGGTTTCCACGTTTCAAGCTTGTGATTGCTTCACACAAGTTAATAATTCGAAGACCCAAGCGGCCATATACGGTACATAAGTGTGTTTTACAACAATAGGACCAACAGTATTTGTAATTTCACATGTAGCCTACCACTGAAAACAGAGTGTGCACTTACTGTTGCCAAAACGCACAGCGGGACGCAAGCACCTCAGTTCATGGGAGCGAACTGAATGGAAAGCTGTCCTTTATAAAGCAAATAATGCCAGTTACGTTAAATGGCTGTAAATGTGGAATGTGGCAAAGTAGACATCCAGACTTGATCATCTATTTATATTATTATTTATATTATACTATTATTATATATATTTTTTTTTTCTTCAGCTTATACGAGAAGGTTTGAACCTAATGCATGTGACATATTCTATGTGCATTCTGACAGAGGGACACAGTGTTGGAGCATCTTTGCTGTAT